TCAGTGTGTTTAAGCACGTAAAAGTTGTATAGTATTACTCTTTTTCCTTATCTCCAAAATCTATTACATATGCTTACAAATGTAGCTTTCCAACAATACAAACTACAGTTTTCACAAAAATCTTAAGTACCGATACGGAATGATGTCAATGAAAGATGTTGATTTCACTTCACATCTTAAATAAGAAAAACACCATTTCAAAGGCTACATGCATGAAAACCAGAAGTATAGTTTGGTATTCAACATGCATAACACTAATTTGATGGGTATGAAAATAAAAAAAAAAGAATTAAGGTATCTTAGGGACCAGTCTGGCAACCAATTGTGAAAAGTTAGTTGCCAGTGTAAAAATTCTGGTTGCATTGGTGACCCTAGCAGTCGCAACATTGCGCTCTGCCACGCAACATGTTTAGGTGCAACTTTGATAAGTTTTTATTAGCTGTATATTCTTAGCGTTTTTTTTTTATTAATTAATTTTTAGAACTCTTTGTGATCAGGTAATGTAAAAATTAATAAGTGTTTTGCTTTTTCTATTTTATCTTCCTCTATTTTGGCATCAGAAAAGATTTTTAATTATTATTATTATTGTTATTATTAGTATTATTATTACTATTATTATTATTATTATTAAAAATCCTTTTTTTAATATGGTAGCGACTCAACTGGGAAGCCAGTCAGAAAGCTGGAGCCCTGACAACAGCAAGACTTCCTGAAAACAGACAACTTAATCGGTACAGAGATGTTTTGCCATGTAAGTGTCAGCTATANAGATTTTTAATTATTATTATTATTATTGTTATTGTTAGTATTATTACTATTATTATTATTATTATTATTATTATTATTAAAAATCCTTTTTTTAATATGGCAGCGACTCAACTGGGAAGCCAGTCAGAAAGCTGGAGCCCTGACAGCAGCAAGACTTCCTGAAAACAGACAACTTAATCGGTACAGAGATGTTTTGCCATGTAAGTGTCAGCTATATATGTGCATATATTTACTGTTTGCTTTCTGAATATCTTGCTTATGGTTGAACCTCCTCAGCACCCACACCTGTAAGGATATTGAAGCATAAAATAACAGCTTTGTGAAGGCTCTAATTCTGTAGTTCAGGAAAAGTGCTAAACACAACTCATTGTCTCTATCTGGCATCAGTGATGGGTAACCAGGCCACTATTTCACAATATTGTAACATCCTCCTCTTTCTTTGTAACATGGCATGTGCTCCAAGCAGCTACAAATTAAATAATGTAACAATTGAAGAGCCAAATGCATATCTGCTTTGTGTCGAATTTTAGGCCTTTTTTCTCTTCTCTGGCTCTNTAATGACCGCAACAGTTAATAGTTTGTAATTGACTTAATGTTTTCCATATTTATGCTTTAAGGGACCCTTACCTCATACTGCTAAGCACTTTTGGCAGATGATATGGGAGCAAAAGACTGAAGCAGTTATAATGTTAAACAGAGTTGTTGAGAAAAATCAGGTTAGTTTCATGCACAAGTGATTATCAGAGATGTCACTAAATTTAATGATTGAGGAGAGGGCAGGTTTACATCACTTATTCAGTGCAATGACCAGCCTTGAGTTATGTTAAACTCACACTGATTTATAATTCATGATTGAAGAGCAGAATACAAGTCATGTGATGTCACACAATGCCACAATTTTAAATCCCAACATTCTTCACCTCTGGAATCACAAACTATTGTTCTCAAGTTTGTAATGATACTGGAACAACAAACAACAAAAACTGCTTGTCCATTCATTCAATAATGGTCTCTCAAAAAACTATTTGTTCTCCTATTCTCTATTTTCCAATTGCCCATAATTCACTCTGTTTGCCCCCCAAATTTTGCATAAACTATTGTTGTGAAATGCTCTCGGGAATATGCAGACCTCCCAAGGGTATTTCACAACAATTGTTTATGCAAAATTTGGGGGGCAAACAGAGTGAATTGTGGGCAGTTGGAAAATAGAGAATTCTATAACAGCCAATTTGTTCAAGTCACACTTCACACAGGTGGTCTCTCAGAGATATGCAGGTTTGGCCCTTTTTAATGAATGAGAGCATACACTGTAGCAAGAGGGAGTTATAGCAGTTTACTTAGTTTGGGGAAAAATCACTGGCGTAGTCAGCCAGCGAGTATCTCACTCAGTCATTAGGTCAAACCTTTGATAATTCAGCTGACCAATGTATTAATCTAGGAGGGTGACATTTGCCAACTATTGTGAACAAAATGGGTGCCAAAGCAATGAACTGGTCTTTTGGGTTTTGAGTCAGACAGGTGCTCCCAAATTAGAGACTATTTTGTATACCACAAAGGTGGGTGTACAATTGGATTCATGACTACCTCTAACAGCTTTTAACTGAGACGTCGCCAAAATTATGTGCAAGGGTTTTTTTATGCTTGAGGGGTGTTTCTCTCTTGCAAATTATTTCAGATATTCCATACCGTATCATTTTCTTATGTGATTACCCTATATTTGTGGCTTGAACACTTTTATTATCTAATGCCTGTATAAATGCAAACCATCCTTTAGTAGCTCAGAGGAAGAGAAAAGTTCTCTTATCAGGATAAGAAAACATAACTTTGAACCTGCCACCTTCAGATTACCAGGCTAAAATCTTACTATTTTGCCAACCTGCAATTCATGAATTTTTCACTACGAAAAACATTATTTTATAAAGTCACAAGTAGCCATAAACGGCTGATTAATAATAATTATTGTTGACCAATGCAGGCTAAAATGATTCACACAGTGAACTTACACTGATCGTGAGTTGACTGGCTGATTCAAATGGCAGTTGTTTCGGGTTGCACCACACACTGAAAGAGCCATTGTTTGTTAGGTAAAGATCGATATTAGCCGCGAGTATGGGAACATCAATTGAACTATACCAGTTCAGTATTGGCTGTCACATCAATTTTGTCAAAGCCAAGGATGCCTTATCACTTGTTCGGGGACGATTTTGAAATAATTTATGATGCTTGTTATGTTTTATTTAAATGTGTTTTACTTGCATTAAGTTTTTGTGCTTTTTCTGCTTACTAGCAAATAAAATGTTAGAAATAAGTGCATGAGTAAAAAGTGCAAGTGCTTATATCGTTTTAATATTAATATAATAAGGTCTTTATTCATTTGATAAAAATACATATCAAAAAATACAGAGTAGATTACATGTAACTAGAATATTTAATTAAGGCACTTACAATGTCAAAAATTCACTAAAAATTCTCAATTAAAACTATTAAATAGACAAGAAGTTGAAAAGTCTACATTGTTAATATATATCTAAAACTACTGGTAAGTCTATTAAGAAAAGTACTTTTAAATAGTTCATTATGTATTTTTGGAAATTGTCCATGACTATTTCATAACCTCACTGATGATTTCTTAAGGGGTAAATGAGTGTATAGTAGGTGGGATGGGTTGTTGCTTATTGCTTTAGATATTATGTAACTATGGGTGTTGCATTTTAAAAAACTGAAACTTTTATTGTTTGCTTTTTGGTCAGAATTTGTTGATGGTAAATTAAAACAATCAACATGTTTCCAAGCTTCCCAATTTAAAAAATTTTCTGGGGGGGCATGCCCATATACCCCCCCTTCCTTCCAGAGGGCAAGGGGCCTTCTTTTATCAGCTCCAGGGGTGCTAACAAAAGGGAGACACCTACTTCAAATCTTACTGAAAGCACTGTGAACACAAATCGAATGGGAGCTTTAACATTGCCTACAGGCCAAAATTTAAGCTTGTTCTTTTATTTTTAAAGTGGTGATGTGGTGAATAAAATTGCAACTTGCAGTGTTGCAGTGATCTCAGACCCTACAAGGACTACAAGGACTAGAAGAGCCTCGGCCTCTCTTTTAAATGCGAGGATTGTATGCACGGATTTTAGAATTTGCAAAGTGGTAACTCGTCGAAAAAAACTGGATTTTATTACAAAATGCATTTCCTTTAGCATTTAAAGAAAGTGGAAGTGCCCACAACATCTATCAGAAGTTACCCTATCAGCGCGTGTGCAGTTTAAACTACCAGTGGCCCAATAAGATCAAACAAAGTATGCGAAAGCCACACAGATGGTTTCAGTCTCTCTTTTCCTGGAAAATCCGTAGGGAAGAACGCAAAATGATTAAGCGTGCGAGCATGACAGTGAGTGTGATGTGCGAGCATGAGCTGCTAGTAGAGGGGGCGGCAGAAGATGAACAAAAAGAGAGACTGCAATGGTTTCATACAACATTTTGGATGCTACTTTGACAGGTCACATCAATGGCACCTTTGCTCTTTTTTGAATATGACACTCCAGTGTCTAATTTTTTAGGCAGATCAATCAAATCTATATCTGGTAAGATGTGGTGAATGGTTCAACAGATTGCAGCTGAAACCAGACCTATGACCTCTCAAAATTTTTCATACTGCTCGTTCTAACGGCTTTACTCTACTTTAAAGTCCTCTAGATACCACAGGCCTTCAAAAACAGTATTATAGTATTATTATTAGTATAGGTAATCATATGGTTTGGAGTTCAATTTGGAATTGATTTGCATGAGTGAGTCTTTTCAAAAAGCTGAAATTGCACAAGCAGCTTTGGTGAGTGCAATTTCAGCTCTTTGAAAAACTCTCAAGTGTAAATCAATTCCAAATTGAAAGAGAAAAACTGTATGATTACTTATTAATAACACAAACATGAAAAAATTCACGTTGAGGAAGTGCTGGAAGACCTTTCTTGAAGCCATTTTTTCCCCTTCGAGAAAACTTTTTCAAAGTTTCCTCTCCAATTTTTTGTCATCATTTTACATGATATCATTGGTTAAGAAATTTTCTATTGTCTTTCAGCCAATCATAATCCAGAAAAATGATGTGTAATTTGCACTGGTGTTACACTTTTTGCACTTGTGTTACATTTGAACTGCACTGCCCTCAGCCAATCAGAATCAGTAATTTTTTTAGTGCATATTATTAAAAATAGGAAAGAGTATATTAAGTATAATAGCATTGTTATTTGTATTCGCATTAGTATTGTAGATAATGTCAATGAATTTTGAGCAAGGATTGGTACTGTCAATAAGTAAAGTATTGTAAGTGTGCTGTGATATTCAAATAAAAAAGGAGGGAAAAAATTATTTCAAATCCACAGATTCAGCAAATGCTTAATGTTTGTTGTTGTGATATCTTACAGATTAAGTGTTACCAGTACTGGCCCTGTGGGGAAGAATATGGACATGTCAGTCATCTTGAGTTTGGTAATTTCAGAATCCATTACCTTCAGGAATTGCGGAGTGAATACTTTACCATCAGATCACTGGAACTAGAAAATATTTTGGTTAGTAGTTAGAGCATTGTTAATGAAAATTTGATTAACTTTTACTGTTTTATGTATTTAAGGGAGGCAACGTGGCCAAGTGGTTAGGGCGTCAGGTCTTTAAATCCAGATGTCACAGGTTGAAGTCCTTCTCTGACCACTAAGCTGGAGTTGTTTCTCGGTAGACCCTAGTTCAACTTCTTGGTCATGTTTGTAAATAGCCAACTGGTCTGTCTCCTGCCAGTTGGGATTTTTAAGCCTATTATATATGTTTATTTGAAATATTTCTTTCTTTCAGTTACACAGTACCTTTGCGGGTGTCCTTCAGAAAAAAAAAAAATTGTACCTCAGTTGTTTTTAAAGAAACTGCCACAAACTATACGTCAATAGAAAGGTTATTAACGGTAAAATTTGGAAAAAAATTCCCGCTAATTTGGCCGTGCCTTTCTTGAGAAGATGGAAGCCTGGAAACAGGAATTAATCAAATTAATTAGGTATCAAATGCAAGCAGTAATCAAGGCTGTGCCCNACAACTTCAGACAATACCCGTTACAACAGATGTGCTACATGAACTGCACTGCTCCAATGGATTTACACACTCTTAGTCTTAGCCTGCGAGCAGGCCCTTCGCGGGCCCAAACTTCATTTTTATTTCTGCGAAGAGCGTGCTAACACACTCTCAATTGAGCAACTCTCCCTCGTAAACTTCTTGTCGCCTTACACGTTGCCCAACATGTTTTTCTTGTTTTCTGAAGACGAATGCTAGACAGTGTGCTTTACGCAACTCAGCTCCATTAGATTGAGTGCGCAGTTGTTTGGATGACAAATCACAGTAGGTTGCAAATAAGATCAAAGCAACTCTGCTTGTAGGGTAGCTGTAAAATATCGTCAGAGAAATCGAAGACTTTTTTTATGAATTACAAACACGCAACATGTAAGCCATCGGATGTAATTTAATTATTCGAAACAACTAGATCGTGTAACATCAAAAACCATGTTCTTATCGGTTCCAAACCTGAAATAAGTTCATGGATGTTCTTCACCAAAAAAGGGTGAAACAAGAAAAGAAAAAGACCAGCGGTTTAGTGAAGTCTTGTGGACATAGTTTGTAATAACATTTTAAAATATCTTTGGTTTTGTTGTATTTTGACACCTTGACATTTCACCCACAATTATTTTCTCGAGACATATTTAGACAACTATGTCATGATGTAGATCATGATGTTGCATATCCAGAGTTATCCCAATAATGATAAGTTATCCAGTCTCACGTAAAATGGGGTATGACTGTGGTGTAAATGACATTGCAAAAGGCCCTCTTAAAGGCCCTCTAGACACTTGAACACTGCGAGTGTTGTGTTACATTATAATCCATTGTGTTGTACATGTAGTGTGATTTAACTTTATTATATGAGCCTGCAATCTTTGTGGTTGCCTCGTGGTTTCAGTTGGCTGCCATGTTTTGTGTTAGTAAGAGATTTGGTAATTAAAGCCTAATATTCTGCGGGCAAACATCTTCTCTCATTTACAACAATGACGTCGTAAAGCTGCGGTGGAAACTGAGATCTTGTTAAAGATAAGTCATTTGAAACTTTCATCTAGCTCACCTCTAATGGTAGATTTTCTGTTGGATTGATAATGGTGTTGCTGTAGTTCAAAGTTGAACAGTATTGTCACTCAAAAAAAAACCAAAAAAAAAACATCAAGCCACCTTAATAACATCACTTGGACACTCATGGAATACCGGTATATACATGTTTGGGTTATTGACAAGCATGAGGTCAAGATGGCTAGATATTGGCCATGATTTTTGCATGCTTATGGACTGAGACACAGTAGTGTTCTTACTACCATGTTCCAACATGAATGACACCTGTCATCTACTTCTACTGCATATTCCAATGAGTAGAACAAGCTCTGTTCTACTTTCCTTAAGTTATACTATCCAATCATTTGATCAGTTCATCCATCAACGAGGTCCTGCATCATATCCACAATATTTGTGCATCCAAGGATGTAAGCTAAGTGACAAACACCAGCTCCTTACTGTCATGGTCCCACCAGTGATCACTAATTCAGTCAAAAGAGAAATGAAAAACCTGAGTGTCAACAGTGTTGCCCATGCATGAAAGCTCAAGTAATTAAGGATTTAAATATTACTCTTAGTGTAAAATTATCCTTATTTGCACTCTCATTCATATGGTTAACTGTGCTTATTGCGTGTTTCATACCACTGAAATTATTGAGGGAATAAACTTATTCTTATACGAAGTGAGAGCTTTTTTTTTTTTGTATTTAAGTGCTGGCATAGGGAGATCAGGAACATTTGTAATGGTGGATTCCATTCTGACAGAGGTAAGCCACTCCTTGATGCATTTACATTTGTTGGCAGTTCTGTTCAGCTTTCCCTTGAAATAAACACAAACTGGAACATTGTCACTTAACATTGTCCATAGGTGTATAGGGGAGGGGGGTGGTGCAGTTCCCTCCCCAGTTTTGGAAATTTTTTCAGGCAAAATGCTCGTGATTTGGGCAACAGTACTTGGAATAAAACATTGCAAAAGGGTTTCAAGGCTTGTAGACATAGCCTACACTATGCACTATGCACACCCATTTTTGATATACTTTTATGGTATAATTGCCTTGGGCAACACCTATTCAGCTACCCTGAACCCTCTCTATGTTTTACAGAAAAAAACATTTCACCCCATGACATTTTCAAAATTTGATGAGTACTCAAAACTATTATTCCAAAAAAAAGGTCCTCAATGTGTACTTGTGGGCTTGTACTTAGTTTGTTTCCATTCGGTTAAAGTGTTGTTTTAAAATGTCTGTATCTGGGAGTTGAATTGCTACAAGTGAGAAGGCAATCACTGGAAAGATAAAGGTGTGGAAATAAGTGAATTAAACACTGTAGTTTTGTATTTCTGGTATCAACATAGAGAAGTTGTTACAAATATTTTGGCCACCAAAGGATCAAGGATTTTAGAGAAAAAGGTGAATGAAACAAAGGTATCAAAAACTGTGTCAGCCACCTTAAGGTGGCTCAAAACAGTTTCCTGCACTTAGATTTTGGTGGGTCGTTATAAACACTCTTTGTCAGTTGATGCTGCAATCACGGTATCAAAACACTGCCCAATCATTGGTGAAGACATTGTTACCATTTTCTTGGCACAATAAGTTACCATAGCAACAGTATGACCTGCTAAAAACACCCTTAATTTCAGCTTTAGGGGCTTATAATTCAAAAACAGCACAGTGACATTTTTTTACGTTATCAAATTTTACTGAGCATGAGAAGACGCAACTTTTGGCAAAGTTTGAAAAAAATTCTGTACATAGGGTTCAGAGCCACCTTAAATTTTCGAAATTTTTGTGTTTTAATTGTAAATAATTTCCTCATCTTCTCATACAGTATATTCTAAAACCCAGGTTTCCTCACATTTCCCAACACTCTAATCATTCTGGATTGGAGACAAAGCACCACTACTTTTTGAAATAGCTCCTTGTTGATTCTGCAAACCGCTTGCTGTCAAGTGGAGGTGACACGATTTATTCACCAAGTTCAACCTTGTTTCCCTGAATTATAGTGTTCCAAAGGCAGCCCATGTACAACTTCGTTAAGTGTCTTGTCTGAGCTATTGCCTTAGAACTGAAGAGATACTTGGTGTATTTTAAGAGCTGCTGTTATCATGGTTATTGAACTTAGATTATCCAGAGATGTCACATGTTACATGAAGGGCATAGCTAGTCTACAATAGTTGTACTTAGTCATGTTAGTGTTGTTAGAGCTATCTCTTTGTTGACCAGGTTGAAGGTATGGGGGACATGGATCAAATTGACATCAAAGCCATGCTTTTAGAGATACGTCAATACAGAGTGGGTCTTATCCAAACACCAGATCAGCTTCGCTTCACATATTTGGCAATTCTAGAAGGTGTACGAGTTCTCATGCCAGATGTTTATCAGAGAGCAGAGAACTGCCACACTCACTTACAGACCAGTGCTGGTAAGTTATTACTGGTCACATTGAATAATGTGACCAGTCCAACTAGTCACATATGTGAAGTTTATATGAAATAACTCATATATGAACTGCGGTTGTAGATGAAAGTGAAGAATGATCATCGCAGTTAATTTTCCAATTTAAGCAATTGGAAAGAAGAAGCCTGAAAA